TATCCAGAATTAATAAGCCCCGATAAGTCCCGATAATATTAAAAAGACGTTTTTAGAAATCGCAGGTGGTCGGGACGCAATTTTGAGTAAAACCCAGGACGTAATAAGTATAGGTATTTACGTCTTCAGCGGAGATTTAAAGTTCGTACATAACGTGACGGCGGACGGCCGATTTTATAGGTATACAAATAATTTAGTTTGTGCGTGTAAGTGTTAAAATATTTTCCACTTCAAAATGTTAACTTTTTAAAATAACAATACTCTTATTTTCCTTCGCCTATACAACCCAACTTATATTTGGGGTCGACGATATTATAATAAATTATAATATTTAAACCGTGTCCTTTCACCCTCGTGTTAATTATTATTCACAGCAGACATGTTTTGTCGTATGCCTGGCTACTTTTTATATATTTTATAATGATAATGTAATTAATAATATATTTCGGTTTTTTTTTTTTTTTTGAAAAAAACTTACAACAATAGGGGGGTGGCGAATTACTTTTTGCTCGTAGGCGGAAAATCGTTTAATCCGCCGCTGCAGTTAAACTGTAAAGTTAATGGGAACCGCTAAAATTGTTTAAAACACATTATACATAATTCGCATGAAATAAAAATGTTTCAGTATTTCCTCAAATGTTCAAATTTCATCATATAAATTAATCTACAGTGATAATAGCGAATATAGTAATACACGCTCAATCGATTGTAACGATATCTGCTGTATTATATAAATTTTAGTGTTTGGACCGTTTGAAATCGGAAATATATTTCACCGTCTATCGAAATCAGTTGGTATCGCGTTAGTCATAACAAAAACGCGTATCAAAATAATTATTATTATTTTATGATATTACTCCGGCTTATTGATGAAAAGTTTCCGATTAAACGGCTGTAAATTCTGTCGATTGAATATGAAACATTTTGCTCGACAACGTTATATGCCGAATAGTGTCGAACGGAGTTTAAACAAGGTGCACAACACAATAAGCGATTTTTCGACGAAATTACCGGGGATTCCGACGACGGTGAATTTTGAAAAAGAGAACCATCAGGCGGAAAATCCGCACCCCGCTCGCAATGAAACGCATAAATTAGACGAATTTTATTTCCACGCGTTTGCGCACGTCGTCAGTCTGTTTTGGCCGGATAAACGAGTCGATTAACGCTGCGTCCGCGTACCTGCAGTATACAGGGTGTACGTGTATAGAGATGTATTTAAAAAAAAAAACACACATCTATGTGTTTATCTGACGTGTTCTTTTAACGCGGATGTTTACTAACGAAAAATGTCTCTCGGTCGGAATCACATTGGCGATTTTGTAATATAGAAGAAACAAGCCGTTAAACGCTGCAGTCGAAGGCGTGTGGTGTTTATAATGTACGCGTATTAGTGCCGTTGTAGACGACAGCGTACAAACGTTTAAATAAATCGAATTTTAAATTACGCGCGAACCGACTCGATCTTATAGAAAGAGAAAAAACCCTAATGGATCGAAATCGAATTGTTGTCGATTCGTCAATAAAATACGAAACGAAAAGTACCGGAATGTATATATGTATATTATTTTTTTACGCGTTACAAAATCAACATAATAACCGTTCTACACGCCTGACCAAAAGCGCGGTGTATGGTTTCCGATTTGTCTACCGTCTTTATGCAGATTCGGTTATTCGGGTTTTTTTTTTTTTTCCAAAAAGACCCCAACGAATTCTATAGGCCGAAATAAACGATTGCATTTACTCTGTTGCGTGCGCATTTATACATACACGGACTTTGCCGCAGTTTGTAAAAGCGGTAAACGATTAAAACGTACCGTATCCACAAGACGTAGTCGATCGCAAGTACAAGACATTAGACAGTTATTATAATACGCGAATAATACACGTTAGTATTATGATGTACGGCATGAACGTTTTATTGAAAAGTCGTGTTAAAAATACGCCGAAACCGAACGATTTCTCACGGTCTTTTCTAGAAGAGAGAAATGCGAATAAAACCGACCGGCGCAACTACGCGTTACTACGTTTGCGTATAAATCACCTAATCGAGCAGGTGTATATTAGAGAAAAAGAGAAAAAGAAGTTCAGCCGAACAAAGTGACGTCCTATAAAATTTATACCGTCGTGTCATGTATTTCGAAAAAAAAAAATAAAAAAAAAAATAGAATAAAACCGTTCCGGAATCGATTTTCGGTAACGGCCGGCGACGGACCGCCGTGATGATGTCCACTGCAGTCCACGGCGTGCACTACTGACGTACATGACCGTTCGCAAGACACGGAAAAAATAATAACAACAACAACGCTCGCGGATTAGTTTTGGTTGGCGACAGAGTACGCAAGGCTCGGCCGAAACGACCGCGCGTCTCCCCGATCCCGGGACATGACGGACCCGATGACGATTCCGTATCGTTTCCGAATAACACGGCCGATCGAGTATGCGTCGGGCATTCCGTTTCGCGCCCACCCGGTTTAAAACGCGTCACGTACACACGCTGCCCGCGTACGAATGGGCGCGCGTTCGCGGCGTGTGTACCCGCGGTGCGTGTTCGATTCGTCGCCGTTAGATCGGGCTGATCGCGGTCGCCCGTCGAGACGCGCACGTCCGTGTACGCGCGACGAGGTTTTCGGGGGGTTTTAAATTCGTTTGGTTTTTCATTTTTTCCCCCTAAGGTTTTTCGGCGCGTTGAATTCACCACAGCCCTGCATGGCGCGATAACAGTTCAACGCGAAATATTGAATTTCCGACATCGGAAAAACGTATACGCGTACATATATTTATGCGCATAATACACGGTGCGACCCCGGATTCGTGACGGACCAATATCCCTTCGGCCCGGCGAACGCCGCGCCGTATTATTACGCGATATTTTATTACGGCCGGGCGTGCGTCCGCCGATTATCCCGACAAAACAATAAATATCACGTTCTTCCGTAAGGTACAGCTCACGGTGTTTATACCGTAGCGTTGCGATTTTTCCCGTTCTCGCGGCATTTTTTTTTTTTTCTACTCTAATTTTTTATCGTATACAAGCGAGTTATGATAATCATTGTAATTTCGTTTAATACGATCGGCGCGCGGCGTTTGTATACAGGCGTCGGTACGCGCGTAAAACTCGCGCTATAATAATAACAATAATAATAATAATACATAGGAAATACAGGCACCTAGCTATTATACGACCATAGGTATACACAGGTACGTATGGTGTATAACATAATAAACACCTGTCTAAAGAGTTATTATTATTATACTGCAGTGTGTCTACGAGCGTATATATATATATATATATACACACAGACGAACGCGGAAAAAGAAGGAGAAAAAAAATCGAGATTATTATTATTATCATCTATACAGGTAGGTAAGTATTAGACTAGTTTTTATTTTTTATTTTTTTCTCCGTTCGCTCCCCCTTCCCTCCCCCGCCCCCCGACGATTCTTATCGATCGTGTATTGGCCGTCACAATATAATAATATAATATTGAAACAACGCGCGCATTATATTAGCATCGGTACCGAAAACAAACCGTAACACGTTGCACACACGACCGACGCCAATAGGTACAGCGGTGTGATCGCGTTGTCCGCCCACGACCGCCCGCGATACACTCGACATTTGTGCACCGCGCGTTCGCGCGGGGCCGCGCGATTAGACGCGAGTGGACGACGCGCGCGGTCATTAAACGCGGCGCGCGCTTATCGTTACCAACGTCGCCGCGTCATGATTCCGTTGGTGGTCGAGTGCCGCTAGACAGAACGCAGAAATACGTTTTCGTCGGGCATACGCGCTTAGAGTGGCCGGTACACGGGCGCGGGTTTGGGCATGGGCGCACAAGGCGAAACGGGTCCGTGACCCACTTCGGTCGCCGTGCACTGTGCGCGTACGCGCGCGCCGTTATGGGTTCCGCGGCCGTCCACACGCGCGAGACTATAGCTGCTGCTGCTGCTGCAGCCGCCGATGCCGCAGCGGCAGACGGGTACAGCCGCGCGCACGAAACCGTTGGTCGTCATTTTTAACGCGCGTAAACGGCGTACGGACGAACAACGAAATACCGACAAATCACGAATGCCCGTGCGCCGCATACGGAGAACGTTTGTCGGCGTTTCGGGCCGCGGGTAGACACGAGGGCGAGGCGACGACGGCGGTACCGAATTCGGCGGCGCGCTGAATTGTGCGGGGCGGGGCGGGGAGGGAGGCGATAATCAAGTGGCGGCCGGCTCTGACTTCTCTCGAGGGCTCCGCTCGTACGGCGGTTTTCGAGAAAAACTCGGTGTTAATACAATTGTCGCCACCGAAAACGTTCACGAGTTCGCCGCGCCGCCGATCCGAATCAACAGTAACAACGTTACCGCCAAGCATTTATCCTCGCGGGGCGAGGACGGTTTGTTTTTCTCTCTCCGCGGTCCCCCGCATCTATCCGTATAGGTACCACCCCCGCCACCGCCACCCCTCCGATAAATACGAGAAACTAGTCGGGCGACGGCCGCCACCGGATCGGACACGTTTATGAAACATTCCCGAATAAAAATAACAATAATAATATTTTCGGAAGATTCGGCCCCGCGCTCCCTGCACGTCCGTCGGCCGATCGGCGCGGCGATGGGTTTTACATCGTACGCCCGGGCACACGACGCCGCAACGACACGCCGGCCCGTACGTGTTGTTGCCGGTGGCCGGGCGTGTGGCGGGAAAATCCCGGCGCGTTTAAAAATACGCGCGCGATCTATACTGCAACAACAGTATCGACACTCCGTGTGCGAGGCGTACAAACGCCGTCGGAATGAATAGCAGAGAGAGAAAAAAAAAAAAAACGATTCACGACGGTTCTCGAAAATTCCGTCAACGCCGACGAATATCGTAACGGCGAACACATTACGACCGGCGACGAGGGAGGTGGGGGGGGGGTTGGGATATCTGAAATCAATACGCCGCGTACTATTATTATTGCCGGGCAGTCTATTTCGGCCCGTATATTTTATTACCGCGTATTGTTTATCTACGATTAAACATTTATATAACGCCGCCGACAGACTTCCAGACGATAACAATATGATGTATTGTCGTCCGTCGGTTTAACGCGGGTCCCGTCCATTCGCCAGCGCAATTTATCATACACCCGTCCGCATTGTCAATAATAATTATCTAATCCGAGTTCGCCTATCTGGCGAAGACTATACCGCGTACCGTTTCAGTATTTACGGCTCGACAAATTTAATAATCGTCATATCCACGCGCTGGTCTGAGAATATTGTGTATAATAATAGTAACAACGGGGAAACGTAAAATTACCGCAGTCGTATTGTCCGACCGGCAGCGTTAAAAATACAACGAATCGCCGAGCGTTATACCTGTACGAGCGACTTCGAAAAACTCCCGCCAATAAAATCCTATCTCGGCGGTAAAATCGAAAACTATAATATTTTAAATAAACCGAAGTAAAATGTACAATTAGTGACAGAGTCGTTTTCCCACCTCTAGTAGATAGAGGACATTTTTTTTGATAATTACAAATTGTATTGTACGCCCGTTGACGGGGGGAAAATAAAAGAAAGAAAAATCTACCGGCGTGTAAGAGTATTAATATCGAGCATTGTCGAAGCTCGACGTTCGGTTTGACGACGGGTGTACTATCCGGGATCGTAATACTCGTTTGAGGATTTACGACGACGAACGGTGAATCATCATCGCGCACGAGGAGGGAAAAAAAAACCACCGAACAGTAAGGTATGAAACTGGAAGAAACACAAAAAAAATCCGATCATTCGCAATATTTTAAAAAAAAAATTTAAAAAAAAAAAAAAAAAATGAAATACCTGATGTATAATAATATATTATTATTACTGATATAATATACAACTATCTTGCCGATGACCGAAATACACGCGTGGCCGGACGGTGCGGCGCGCGATTCGCGACGGACGACGATGATAACGATAACTGCGCGATAATATTCGCCGTTCGGAGTAAATAACGCGACGGGTAAGGAGTGAAAAAAAAAAATAATAACAATAATAATAATAAAATAACAATAAATAAACGACTTGAAAACAAAAACGAACGAACGAACGAACGAACGAACGGACGGACGCGAACGGACACCGCGAGCGGGACGAATAAAAACGCGTCGTACGCGCGTGGCGGCTGAAATGCGTTTGTATGAAATATATCGCGTTTATGTCGGTGCGCGGGCACGCGCTCGACGGCGCGGGCGGGCGGTGATCGGTCCGTCGGAAAAGCGGTCGGGCGGACGCGACGATCGCGCGGCAACGTGCGGCGAGCGAAAAGTCCGCGGCGACACGCGCGCAACGTTTTTTCAAAAAAGCCGGCGCGAACGGTGCGACGACGTGCGAACCGCGAGACCCGATTGGACGGCCGGACGGACTGGCATTAATGGCGCGGCGCGGGGCACTCAACAGCTGCTCCGGCCGCCGCCGCCGCCGCCGCCGCCGCCGCCACTCCGGACCGGCGCGCCCGCGCACGCACGCGTCGCGCGGCTCGCCCAATGATAACGCGCGCGCGTTCTTATCAGGGCCCCCTACCCGGGCCCCCATCCCCTCCGCCCGCCCGCCCACGACGCGACGGCTAAAAACCGTTCGCCGAATCCCTTCCCCGCGCCCGCGCACGCGCGCGCATATTATTTTTATTGCGCTTTCCCCGCGGCCGCCAACGTTATTGCGATAATTTAAAATGTAACAATAATAATAACGTTGTTATTAATACCGTCAGGCGCGGGGCACGGCGACCGGAGAATTCCCCCACGTCTCCCCTCGTCAGCCACTGACCTGTACGCTATTACTGTTATAATTAATAACTCCGGGAGGCGCACGCAGCACGTACGTACGCGATAATGATAGTGCGACGTGACGAATAGCGTTGCGATTTTCACCGCGGAAAACCCATGCCGCCGGCGTTCCGGAAAATCAAGACGCACGTACCCGTGCGGCGACGTCGTCTGACAGTTAATGTGTTACAGCCGCGTCTGGCTGTACCAGTCCGTCACACCGCCGGGTTAACGCGCGAAAACGCCGCTCGATTTCGGTTTTAGAGTAAAAATAAGCGGTAAATTGTACCCGCCTGTTGCGAAATTTATCGAGAATAACATTCCGGAACGAATGGCATTGGCGTTTCTGGAACTGTCAACTATTAAAAAAGGTAACGATTATTTTACAAATAGAAAAAAAAAAATGTTTTTGTATCTTCTATAATACCGAGCCGTATGTTTCGAATACCGTACGAAAACCCTATGACGTTCCCTCCAAAATACCGTTCTCTGTACATTTCATAATGGGGCACTAAACGCACACTGAAACAATCAAAAGTACATGCTATGGTTTTACTAATTCTGCGTACGCGCTGTTTTCGCACTTGTTATCCGGTTGTTGGACCGAGACGGTACGTAGATGCTGGTATAACGTCCTCTCAACCGGATTTCGGAACTATCGTCTTTTATTTGTGCACGGTGACGTTCGTCCGCCGATTTGAGGTTAGGTTAGCGGACCTGTGCAAAATACGCGAGTTCCCGCACGAACGGAACCACACCAATATGAACAAACAACAGCGATGATTAAAATAAATCGTTACCATTGAATGTCTGCAGAGTTTCGTAAAATTTTAATGCATCACTTTCTGTACTATATACCTCTACTGTCTATAATAAACAGTACGTGGACGGTCCGTTTTTTATTGACTTCTGCGCCACTTGTTGGGTGTTGAGCGAGTTTAATGAGAACTCGGTACTCGAGAAAATGGACGTGATTTCTGATACTGCGTTTAGAAGGCGGTAAGAGAAATCCGTATTCGTTTCGATTTTTATACGCGCCGGAACTTAACGTGACCACGGGAGATTTTCACCTGCTTTCCCTCTCGCGCGGGAACACGCATGTGGTATGTAAGCCCTTTGAAAGTTATCTGTTTTTTAATTTTTTTTTTTTTTTTTTTCAAATGACACAAGCCTCCGGATTTTCAAAGTTAGCGTATATGAGTGTATTTCCCTTATTCCTATTGCGTACGCTGCATATTGGTGTTGAAAAAAATTATGTGTGTTCCAAATGTTAATTTCAATTACAAACACGTTTTGTTTTTTTGTTGTTCGAACACTTTAACACGCGACGCGTAGGATATCTGATGTGTGCTTCGACGTTTTATACAGTCACGCGATAACGTAACGCGTTATCGTTATCATCGTTGATACACGTCGCGGTCACTAATTTAATGAATTATGTTATATAGATCGGCTCGAATAGCGTCGCAGACAATTATCGGTTTTTAACTATGTATGTGTAGTGAAAAAACAAAAAAAATAGGTTTCAGTATCCGATAAAAGGACGGGGATAATAAAAAAAAAAAATAAAAAAATCGAATCATTATCTCGAAACATGTGTAGTAGAGCTTTGTAAAATATGTATCCGTCGCTCGCAGATTTCGTATGGATTTATAGGTACCTACTATATTACATATTACTCGTGTAGAATAATACGTAGACACGTGGCGCACGGGTAAAATATCGAGGAAAAAAAAAAACCGAAACCGGTTTTTGTACAAATATCATTAAACTTTATTGTTATTGATATTGGATAATAATACATATATATATACAAGTATAATATTCTATAAACGAGAATTATGACGATAATCAATTAAGATCGAATATTATAGATAAGTATCGGTTTTTTTTTTTTTTTATAATATTCTACGCTATATACTCTAAACCGTCGATACCTATTAATTATATCAACGTGCGTTTTTTTTTTTTTTTTTTTTTTTCAACAGATAAGTAGACAATATAATTATTATTATTGCGCTGTATTCCGGTCCGAGGAGTTTAAGAAATTTAACGGATTACGAACGTTTTCGTTTGGATAGGGTACTCCGTTGGGGTAAACGAACAAAATGGTCGGGGAAAAAAACCCCGCGAGTAAACGCGCACAGACATGCTGCGAAACGAATGGTATCGCGGGCCCCCGGCGTACACGAAATCACTGCAAATGCGTCGCGAATAACGCGCCGTCGTCAATCGTATGCAGCGCGTTCTTGGGCGCCGTCACACGAGAAACGATCCGTACATTTCGTCTGAACCAAACGAGTGATTGTTGTCACCGTGACGCGTGACATAGTTGACAGAGGTGTTCCGATGTCGCGAAACACGCGCGCGGACCGACGTAATAACGCGCCGGCGACGACGGTTAACAAAAAAAAAAAACACGACGAATCCAGGCCAGAAACGGCGTTCGGTCCGGATCGATTTCGGTACGGCGACCGGGTTATTGTTTTTGCGGGGCGCTGTCCGGCGGGGACGACTGATAAACGTGTACCGAAATCGCGAGAAAAAAAAAAATCCGCCGAGTCTCTCTGTTCGTTATAGGAAAAATAAAAAAAAAAAAACTACCGCGATACGGATACGCCGCGGGGATGGATACGTACAACGCGGTCCCGTCGCGCGTAATTTGAATACGCGCGCATAGATTCAGTCTCTACAGTCGCTGATTGCTAGAAACGTCACACGCGGATTCGCATGTTTTTCACGTAGGCAGCGGCGGTCGACATTGCCGGCAGTACGGCACGGGGGTGCGTGTACGCGTCCGTAGCGGTGACACGACCGTCCGTTACGGACGTTTTAAACTGGAGATATTGAACGTTACGACACGCACGCAAAACGAAAGGGGCCGCGGCGTCGTCTCGCCGTCTCACACCGCGACAATAACGGCGAATAGGGTTTTTCTGGTTTTTTCGGCCGTTGTATGTAGACGTTTGAACGGTGGTCTGCGCGCGATTCGGTATCCGGTATGAGAAGTTTACGCCGAGGGCGGACGAAATGCCCCCGCGCCGAACAGCGGCTGGTTGGAAATTCAACGGTGGACGTTCGTTGTTGTAAGTCGCGCACGCTCGGTTCACGCACTGTAGCGCGCGCGTTTTTCGGCCGTTTTCAGCGTTCGTCCGTTCGTCCGGGCCGCGACCGTACCGCAACCGTCGTTGCGGTCTACGCCTACGCCGGCGGATCGGACGCATCCGAATCGCACGACGTCGAACGCCAAATCGCCGCGCGCGAAAACACGGACGTCATCCGACTTCCCGAACGCGCGGCGCGGTCGCGTGCCCGCCGCGCGCGCGACGGTCGGCGAGAAACCGGACCGGCCGCAAACGTTTCGGACGTCGTTGCGCGGGCGCACACGCCGCGCACCGAAAAACCGCCATCGCCGTATAACATCGTTGCGTATCATCACTATTATTGTTATTATCATCATTTTTATTATTGTTATTGTAGCGTTCCGGTGCACGGGCTACCGCGCGGCCCATTGTTTTTCGATTACACCCACACACAATATTATTATAGCCGGCATACACCGCGTTCGGTATAATTAAATCGCCGACACGATATTCCACGTTTCCACCGCCACTCGTAGTGTGCGCGCGCGGTGCATAATACGCGTTTAAGACGGATAGGTATTACCGTGTGTAAAACACACTTGCACATTATACGATAACATACGATTATCGCGCCGCGCAAACACGACAAATTATTGTACACCGTATGGGTACCTGCCTGCGTATATGTTATTGTTGCCGGGAGGAGTAGTGTTTATTGTTTTGTATTTAGTTGTTGTTTTTTTTTTTTTTTTTCCTCTCTCTCTCCGTTCTCTTCGCAACTATACGGTCATATTTATACGCGTTACGACTTTAACACGGGTACACGAAGAAATAAAAAAAAACAAAACGGCGTACGGGTGTATAATATTATAATCGTGTATATTCGTGCGCACGGCGCACACGTTTCCGGCGTACGGGTTACGTCGCGAACGCCGCGTTGTACAATAATAATTATTGTCGTTGGCACGACGACGACGACGACGTCCGTATAAATAACAGTTAACGGGGCTAGGGGAAAAAGGGTGTGAAAAAAAAGCTAGTGATAAAAAAAAAGCGGGTGGTAAAAGAAAACGATGTATTTATTTTGCACGTTATAACGTATTACAACAGGACCGTGGTACAACAGTATAGTGATTTTCGCTACATCCGATTATGAACCGCGGATTTCGATAACTTGCTCCGATAATTGGTTTTTTTTTTTTTTTTTTGTGAAAACGATTAAAATATTATCATTGAATACATAATATAG